GATCTTTTTTTTACACAGTGGTTGTGGACCTGTGGTTACATACATGGGATATGATGTCGGGGTTCGTACATATCTTACGTATCCGTATTTAACTAAATATATCCCTATCTTTATATATATATATATATAGTGCGTGGATAGCATAATGATTAACGAAAATTCATAGATATGCTCAGCATAAATTCATTGCCTTTCTTGATTTTTATAAAAAAGTATAAATTTGACTAATCATTTTATTTATTTATTTATTTATTAAAAAAGAAATCACGGTCCAGGTGGAGCGCAATTGCGTTTTATGGGTGGTGATTCGCCGGTCGGACACGAAAGAATGATTTTGGGCTCAGTCCACCACCATCCATTTCAATTTTGAATATATATATATTAATTTATATATATTATAACATTATTTCGCAAATAATATATTTTTTCGTAGATATTACTCATTAAATAGCTGAATAAACAACCGAAATACATAAATAAAAAAAAACTTGACCAAATTAATTAATTAGTAAATGTATTATGTATGCATCCACCACAACAACGTCACGTGAGTACAAAGGCAAGTACACGATAAAGCTATGGGTCCCACTTGCATCAATATCCACGCCATTATATATATATAATATAATTTATTTTTCTTAACTAGTTTTTTTTATATATATATATATTTGTTGCCATTAGATTTAGATGCATGTGCACACATCCAATTCGGATACTGAAACTTAAGTTATATATCTCTTTTTTTTTTAAAGTTATCGATATTATATATACTTTATATAGGTTTTGAGAAAATGCTATAAATTGAATCTTTCTCCCATTCATTAATTTATTTATCTGATTTTTGGATGTGTTTTAGGTACACCAACCAATCACAGGAAACCCCATATCTATAAATAGAAACCCAATCGCACGATATGATCGTATTTCATACTAAAAATATCCACAATTTTTCCAAAAATAAATAAATCGTGGTCTAAAAATTCAACAGTTCGTATATAGAGGAAATGCGTACATGTGTGCGTGTTTATATGCGTGGGTCTAGAAAGATGGGAACGATGAATAAAAGCGTGGGGGACCATTTATCCAAAGGGACGTAAGTTTTATTTGTACGAAATTTCTCTATTTAAAAATACAATATATCACATACATACATTTATAAATACACATATACATCAATACATCCGTTATATAAGAAAAAAATATATTTAAATGAAATTATATTGATTGCAATCTCTCTGTTATGTTGATATTTAATTTCAATATATATAACTTTCAAATATCTAACATGAAAAAACTTAAATTAATAACAATTCAGAATCATGAATAAATAATTTAGATAGAAAAATGTTTTCTAGAAAATAATTTTTTTTGTTGTTGGAGGACGGTTCTGGTGCGCGTCGCTTTCACGTCTTCTCGTATCCTCCGAGCGCCAAATGTAAAATAGTATTTACGAGCAATTATCCTCTGCTTTGCCCTTGTTATACATTTCATATTTTACAAAATATATCAAATAAATATTTTAATTTTATTTTAATTTAGTTAATATTTTAAATATTAAAATATTTCAAATTAGTATGTTAAATATTATCTTAACTCATAAAATTGATACTAATTTTACTTGATAATGATATATAAATTAAATATTAATTTCAATATAAAAAATGAAATATTATACATTTATTTCGATTTGATGAATTATATATTAATTTTAATATTTAAAATAATTCAATATTTTATATATAAATTAAATTAAATAAAAAATTATATATTTATTTGGTATATTTTGAAAAGTTGGAATATTTGGTATATTTTCATTGGATAATAAAATGAGAAAATTAGATTAAGAAAAGATACGTGTCTGAAGATGATACGATACTGTTGGGAATCCAATCTCAACCGTCCATTTTCCCGTCCAATCTAAGTCATCGTCATTATCGCCGTTGAATCCTCCTCATACATTAATTTCTATGGCGTTTTCGGATGAACAATAATAAATTCTCTGAATAAAATAGAGAAAATCTCAACCGTTCATTTTTTTTTTCTCAAGTTTTTAATGAATAATATGGAACGTTATTTACAACGACAAACCAATATTTAGATATCCGTACACATCACATGGTTCCGACACCATTCGCTCGTGGTTAGGTTATGTCATGTCGTGGGTGCAGCTAATATCGCATAACATATCTTTTCTTTTCTCTCTTTTTTTTTTTAAAAAAAAAATTATTAATATTTATTACATTTTTGTAGAATATATAATTGTAAATGCTATTATTATTATTATTATTAGGCCTTTATCTTCTGTACTTTTAAGCACGTTTTTAATCGGTAGAAAAACTTTATATAAAACTAAATTGAGACGGAACTTTATAAGCAGATCACATCAGATTCATTTTCTTTGGAGTAGACAAAATATAAAACAACTTCCAAATATGTTTTGAGAGTTGCATTCAGATCGTTAAATATTTCAATATAAAAATAACAAAATTAAGGAAAAATCCCAAAATAAACACTCATCTTTCAAATTTTGAAAAAAAAAACACTGAATTTTTTATTTTATCAAATAAATATTAAATTTTTTAAATTTAATAAAACAAACACTTAATTTTTCTACACTTGTCAAAATAAACAAAATGATCTACGTGGCACAATAAAAAGCAAACACGTCAGATTATTGTACTTAATTTTTTTTACAATCGCATAAAATTCATATATTTTTTGGATTATTAAAAAATATTAATATTTTTTTTGATACGTTGCAGAAAAATTCATATATTTTTTAGATTACTTAAAAAAATTCGTTTAAAAAGTTTAACAGACAAAAATTAAAGTTTAGTGTTTTTTTTTGTTAAAATTGAAAATTTCAATGTTTTTTTTATTTTTTCTAAAATTAATCAATAGAATATGGTAAAATGTATGGTTGAGAAATTTTATTATAAACGGAATATCATGAATTTATATTTCTAAAAAAAGTATCATATTATTGAGAAATTCGTAAATTAAATATTTCTAAATTATATGTTAACACTGTTTCTTGGTTGTTTTATTATTATTGTATTTTAATTTATTATAATAAAATATTATTTTATTTGATGTTATATTGTTTTATTCTAATTTATATGAACAATTTTTCTTTGATGTATTTGCTTTCAAAGTTATTTGGAAAAACAAATATAACTTTAGCATATTTGAAAGGTATGGTCCATACAAAGATAATTTTAAAAGGTTGCATTTTGCGCTGCACGTTTTTTTGTGAGCGAAAATCTTATTAACAAATTAATTACAAATTTTACGCGTCAGTTTCTTTTAATTTTAATTAAAATTACCATGTAGGTATCAGTTGTGTATAACTTTAAAGAATTTCCTTCCTGTTGAATTATGGTTGAGCTGAATAGTTATGTTTTTTTATTTTTATAAAAATTATATTTATTTTAAATTTACATATTGTCAATTTAATTCAGATTTATTTAGTTTATATTTTTATTGATTATTCATTTTTTTCTCATACAGGATATGCTTTTTGCTTTCAAAGAAAAAATAATTCTCATCCAAATTGCAGAAAAGCACAAGAGAGTTCGGTGGGCCATCGATTGCTCAATTCAAATTCCTTCGGCACAACTTTTATTAAATGATAATCCTTTCTATAAACTGTAATATAAAATGATAATATATATTATTAAAAACTTATACTCTCGTGCTTGAATATTTCAAATTTCGATTTGTTTATAGTTAACAAGTAAATAGTAAACATATTTAGCAAAATAAATAATCAATGATTTATAAAATATATAAATAATATAGGATCGATATACGGTGCTATATCAAACATTGAATATATCAGTGAAAATAAAATTGATTTTGATTTGTAATAATAATTATTTGCACTGTATATCTTGTATCATCATCTCCCACCCCCCTTATTCACATGTAAATTGTAATAATAATTTCGATTTCATTATTGCACACACATATAGTTAGGTAGATAATTTATCACGTTTTTAATTCGGAAAGTATCATAAGCGGACCAAAATAGTTACCATATATTGTCATTTTAGAGATAATTTGTTTTTATCTAGATTGACTTTTTATATAAAATGGAATATGTGAAATAATGTTTATATATATATATCATACAGTTGGGCCTTTAGCCCCATAAATGAGTTTATTAATCAACCGGGCTTTTTCTAAAGGCCTCGTTTAACTTATATTAATGGGCTAAAGGCCCGTTTTATTTTAAAGGTTTCATCTTTAAACAATTTAAAAGCAGAATATTTTTGGACGAATAAAGCATGTTTTATAATTATAATTTATAACCAATCAAAAATGGATATGACTGGGACGTAATAAAATGCTCGACATTTTAAAACAAATAAATAGGGGAGCAATAAATTTGGTTTTAATATGGAGCAATAAATTTGTTATCAATGGCCAGCTTAATTGGAAAAAAAATTATGGTTTGCTTGAATATGATAATATATTTTTATTATTTAATTTGCCGTGTAATTTTATGTTTAAAGAGTATTGGAAGATCCTACCAGACAAGACAACGCCGTACTCTGGCAAGATATCGGCCGTTGGATTTTTATTGTCTTTTTTGTTGGATTTTTTAATTTAATAAATAAATTTTGTATGTTTGGTATTTTATTTTTATGTTATAATATATTTTTTTCAATAATTAGGCGAGAGTAAAGATAGTACAACACTGACACAGTGGCAGTATTGTAAATAGGGAGAAGTCTGGACCAACGTGAGACGTGTCGCCGCGCCAATGTACCTTCAGAATATGTACAAAAGCTGTAACGTGAAAAGAAGCATTTAATGCTGAATCACGAGTTCTACAACAATTTTATTTTTTTATTTTGTGACAAACAATAAGATTTTTTTATTTTTAAAAAAAATGTGATTTAGAAAACGTATAAAATGCTCAAATGTTACAGAGATATTTTAATTGGTTTACAGAGATATATATATATATATTTTTTAAATTAGAGGAATTTATTACTGTAATTTTTCAAGCTCAACACCCAAAACACTGAATGCATGAAGGGTCTGTGATGAAGAATACAGAGTCCGGGAAGAGATTAAAAAAAGTGTTTTTTTTTTTTAAAGAAAAAGGAGAAATCTTAAGAGATTGTTTTTTTGGAGGGTCGTCTGATTGATTTATCGAGGAGGGATTTCTTTTAAATTACATGGAGATGTGCGCTTGATCCATCGTTTTTACATCCTCAGACTTCTCGGGTTCCTCAATCTACTTGTTTTTTTTGTTCTTCTGCGGAAAAATCGATAATAACCGACCGGTGTTTGGCCATGTTGTGGAGCGTGGAAAATCGGGACCGTAGATTTGTCATCCGATTCCGATTCTAACTTTATCTTCTTCTGATTCTATATCTACCAGTATCTCAGCTACCCTTTTCGCTTTTGGGAAGCGAGCGAGAGAGAGAGAGGGCTCCGGAGAGAACACGGAGTCGCCGGCGAGCGGATTTCTGTCGGAAGTGTCTTGTCGGAATTCGATCGAAGCTCCGGCGACTCTCTGTGTTTTCGTTCCCTTTGTCTCTGTCTTCTACTGCTCCCTCCTCATCTTCATCGCTCTCTCTTCTGGTTGGAGCAGCGGTTAACTCCGGCGGCTGCATCAGTTTCCATGCGCTTAATGCCGAAAAGGTATCTGGGTTTTCTTCAAATTGTTTACTTTGTTGCTTCTTTTACTTTTCATGGATGTTCCTGTCTGAATCTGAAATGGGTTCGTGGGTACCTTGTGTCGGGTCTTGCTGCAGGACTTGTTCAGGAGTAGAGATTTTTGGAGGATTTCTTCAAATTGATTCGCAGTTGATTCCTCCACCGGATTTTTCTTTCCAGTTTTGTTGATCAAATCTCTCTCTCTCTCTCTCTCTGGCCATCTGAACCAATAAATCGTTCAGTGAGTGAATCCCTCCGATAAACCCTTCCCGGTTTGTTGTCTGAAGGCCAAAAAAGATGACGAGGAAGATACGTATCGTTGTGAATGATCCTTACGCCACCGACTGTTCCTCGAGCGAAGATGAGATGATGGGCCGGGAGAAAGTTCCGAAATTGAAACGTCTTGTTCGTGAGATCAACCTTCCCATCTATCAAGCTGCTCTGTCAGAACCCCAAGCTTCATCTTGTCGGGGTGGAACCAAACCCAAAACTCCAACTTGGAACAAGAAGTCGCCGAGCAAAATCTCTCGGGAGAGACGATCTGGTGGAGTCTCGAAGCCAATAGGAGTGAGGCAGAGGAAATGGGGGAAATGGGCCGCTGAGATTAGACACCCAATCACAAAAGCTCGAACTTGGTTGGGAACTTATCAGACACTGGAGGAAGCAGCCAATGCCTATGCTTCTAAAAAGCTCGAGTTTGATAGCTTGGCATCTGGTCAAAACCCTAACCTTGGTGAAAGCTCACTGTCGAATTCAAATGCTTCCCATGAATCAGATTCTTTGGCCTCAGCCTCAGCCTCAGCTTCAAGGTCCAACGATGTCGATTGCATTAAAAAGGCAGCGGCGGCTTCCGAACCTGGTGAATTGATCAAAGGAGCGTTTGATTTCAACTTCGCAGATGTGCAGATTCCAGAACTGGGCAGCTTCATGGACGAGCCTCTGCTCTCAAATGCTTCTTCTGAGCTTGAGTTTCTCTTCATGGAAGAGAGTGGTCATTTCTTGGATGATTACTGCTGCATTTATGATGATGATGATCATCATATGGACATGCCAAAGCGCGATTTCTCCGACATTGAGATCGATCTCTCCGATCACAAGTTGAACCCCCTCGATATCGCATGCCCCATAAGTTTTTGCAGTTAGGCTTTAGTTTGTACTCTGTTCTATGTTATTACAGCTTTTGTTTTTACATATACAGCAGGAACCATGAAGACTGGTTCATAGGGACAAAGCGGTTTTGTTCACTTATGTTGTGTTTTTGTTAAAGTTATGTTCGAGTTTGAGAGATATTACATGTTCATCTTTGTAAGGATTTTGCCTTTTTCTTGAGGTTATAATATGAACCCTGTAAAACCATTTTGTTAGGGTTTAGGGTTTTGTCTTAATTTTGGGTTTTGATATTATTATTATTATAAGGATGTCTTCTTCTTCTATCTAACTGCCAATGTAAGTGGTCCAACCAAAGCATAAATGTCAAATCTATGTATGGCATTCTTCTTTGTTGTCTAGCCACACATGCCCAAGATTTGAATAATGGGAATCTGTATTTCTTTTTTTTTTTTTTTTTCTTCTTAAGATACGGTCCAAATTATGAAAATGAACACTGTGGCGGCGGCTGGTTTACTTTCACAAATTGCTTGCTCCACCATTGACATTGACTCTGTGATTGTGGTATGATGTTACATGTTCGAAACCAATTATTTCATTTTATGGTAGAAAAACAATATCATATTCTTAAAATTTACCTTTTATTTATGGCTCTTTTTTTTATATTACGTATATATAATTGAAACCCATATAGAATTAACTTCAATATCCTAAAAATTTCGAAAACAAATATAAGAAATTAGAAATTATATCAAAGCAAGTAGAAACGTGTTGAGTGGAGTGGCTCCTTTTATGTTATATCGTTTTCATGGTTGGAAAAGTGCTGTTAAAATGGGTATACATGGATTTTTTTTTCCTTGAAGCAATTTGGCTAAATAAAATTGAGAGAATCATTTGTTATATAACTTTATAAACCACTCACTTCCTCGGAGACTTTGGCTTGACTTTGAAAAAATTTAGAAAAAAAAATCCTTTGAACCTTAAACATAATTTTTTTATCGAGTATTTACATACATACATACATACATACATACATACATACAATACATACATGCATTCATATATACATACATATGTGTAATTTTATCGTATATTTCTTACAAAGTATGATCCTTTGATGATTGTTTTGTGTAAAAAAAAAAAGTGCTCACGCGCTCTGTGACTTGTAACTGCGCGTGGGATTTGTGAAAGTTGGCCGAGGCTGTGTTCGGGAAATTTAAAGTGGGCTTTAAATGTTAAGATCGGCCCACTAAACTTAAAGCGTATCTTTTTTGAAAGCCCATAAAAGTTTAATATCATGACTAATTAAACCCAAATAAAACCCATGCGAAAAACTTGAATTAAGCTTGTGTTGATAACAAATAGTTAAAACTTTCTAGTTTCTATAATTAATATACAACATATATTAGACAAAATGTTTTCTAAAAAAACATATATTTATTTAATAGTAAATTCTTATCCTATGCAAACAATAACATTATTATTATTATTATTATTATGCAAAAAACATATATCGTTTGGTTTGGTTGGGTGGAGTTTGTGTAACCTCCTCCACAAACTCCACCCAACCAAACCAAACGATAAAATTGCGTGAAACGACTTTAACCTAAAAGACTTGGGGGGTCACATTTTGTAAATTAGTTGTTGGTTGTTTTTATAACGTTATTAATATGATATAATTCTAGACCCCTTACAAATAAAAATGTGATAAATTATAAACATGAATAATCTTTGTTGAAATCTTACTCACAAAGGCCTCTACATCTATTGCTAGCTATTATTTATTTTAAAAAATATATATATATATGTATCCACACCGTTGGTTCAAATACAATACAATGAGCATTGTGTGAATGGTATCCATATATAAATATAATTTATGATTAATATCTGAAAGAATATATATATTTTTTAATTTAATTATAAAGCAAGAGCGGTGGAAATCTCACAAACTCATGCCTTTCTTGAAAGTCAATACAAGAAATGTATATACCCACCTAACCATACCGACCGTACGCTACAATTTTTTCAAAATAATGAAATGGGTTTTTATTTATCATCTATAAACTGATATTTTTTTAATTAGAAAACTAAATCAGCCATTTCTTCTTAATCCTACGTTCTAATATTAAAAGATAAACTCCGAATCTTGTAACGTATTAATTTCGAAAGATATAACGTCGTCTTGCCCAATCATATAATATATGAAATTGACATTTATAGAATTAATAAATCTTATGTTTAATTTCTTATCATCATTTTTGGAAGAGAGAGAGAGAGAAAGCGTGTAAAAATAATATTATTTTATTTACTTCAGTTGTGGGCCCAGGCCCAGGACCTAAACATATATTTCCAGTTCTTTCTTGCAAGCCTGCGTGTGTGTTTTCATTCCTCTCTCCGTTCTTCTGCTTGGCTTAGCAAAGCGGCGTTGGCTTTTTTTTTTTTTGAACAGCGAAGCATTCGACATTGTTCTTTCAAGAAGGAGAGAAGATCTGTCTTCGTCGTCGATTTCGGGAAAAAAAGAATTATGGGTTTGTCGAAGAGGGCGGCGTTGTTGGAAGATTTGATAGAGAAATGCGGCGGCTGTGCGGTGGTCGACGGCGGTTTCGCCACCCAGCTCGAGAGCCATGGCGCCGCCATTAACGACCCTCTGTGGAGCGCCGTCTGTCTCATCAGAAATCCCGAACTCATCAAGCGGGTTGGTGAATTTGACTCACCCAAGACTCTTTCTTTTTCTTTTCTTTTCTTTTTTCTGACGAAAACATTCGATTTCATGGGGTGGGTTTTGTCTATTTCGATCAAAATGAAGGTAATGAAGTTTAGGGGAGGAAAAAGTTTAAACCTTTAGGATTGTCAATCTTCTAATATCTGAAGTTCATTTTTGTTTTTGGGAAAATATAGATCTTTTCCAGTACACTTGTTAAATCCATTGGAAGTTTTTTTTTTTTTTTAAGATTTGGAATCTTATGGATAAAATTGCTTGAAAATGCAGGTTCACTTGGAATACCTGGAGGCCGGTGCACACATTCTGGTGACTTCATCTTACCAGGTATATCCACTCGCAACTTCATATGTTCTGTCCTTTTAGCCATTTTGTCTTTTTTTTTTTAATAAATCTAATTTATTCATTGAGATCCATTGTCAGTAGTCACAGACCGATTGTTACCTTTCTGGGATCCTTAGCGATGTGCTTGTCCAATTTTAAAAGATTTGCTGGAAAAAAACACTGTTTCATTGGATTGGCATCACTAGGATCTGTTCTTGATTTTCAGAAGCAAGCACTGATGTTTACTTTGTCCGACGTCGATGTTTCCAGCAAAAAACAAATGACACAATTTAATGATAACTCACGATTTTATATTCATTTTAAATATCTTGGTTCAATCCTTTGGAGATTGGGACGAATATGTTAGATATAGGATAAAAGCGGTATGGATGAAATGGAGACAAACCAGAGTTTCTTTGCAATCGTAAAGTTCCTATATGGTTGAAATGAAAATTCTATCGTACTGCCACAAGAGCCACATTAATGTATGGTAGTGACTGTTGGGTGGCGAAAGGACAACATGTGTTCAAAATGTGTGTGGCCGAGATGATGATATTGGATGGATGTGTGGACATACACGAATAGACCGAATTCGAAATGAGAGCATTAGGGAGAAACTAGGAGTCATAACCATAGAAGAGAAATTACGCGAGAGACGTTTAAGGTGGTTTGGACACATAAAACGTAGATCGCTAGACGTTCCGGTTAGAGAATTAGAGAGTATAAGGATGGAAATGAAGAAACGAGAAAGGGGTAGGCTAGCAGGGGTACACCTAGACTTACTTGGGAACGAATCATTAGAAATGACTTGGATATGTTGCAAATATCGGAGAATATGACGCAAAACCGAAATGAATGGAAAAGAAAATTCATGCGGTCGACCTCAAATAAATTTGGAATTAAGGCAATGTTGTTGTTGTCGTCATGATTTTATATTCTTTTTGTCTTTGGATATAAATTCATTTTCCAAAACAAGTTTTTGATTCACAGGCCACTATCCCGGGGTTTCTATCAAGAGGGTTGTCCATGGAGGAGAGTGAATCATTGTTACAGAAGAGTGTCAAATTAGCAGTTGAAGCCCGCGATAGTTTCTGGGACAGAGTTAGCAAAGTTCATGGGCATGGCTATAACAGAGCTCTTGTTGCTGCCTCCATTGGAAGCTATGGAGCCTATCTTGCTGATGGTTCTGAGTACAGGTGCTGTCCCTGTAATCTTTGAACATCATCATCATCATCATCTCGTTTCTGATTTTTGATAGCCGTTCACAAATCCCGAAGTTACTTCCTTAATCTTGGGACAATGATCTGTAATGTGAGAAGTTACAAGATGTTAAGACCTAGTTGGTGGGTTGCCATGGATATTGACCGACTCTCAGATTCTCGGCAAACTTGAGGTTTCATGTTTTGAAATCATGGGCAATATATATATATATATATATATAGATATGAGTGATTCTATAATGATTTGAATGTGTTGAAAATCTCGGAGGATATAACGCAAAACCGAAATGAGTGGAAAAGAAGAATTCATGTGGCCGATCCCAAACAAACTTGAGATTAAAGCGATGTTGTTGTTGTTGTTGTTGATGAGTGATTCTGTCCTTTTGGATGTTGTTGCAGTGGGAACTATGGAGAAAAGGTGGACTTGCATAAGCTGAAAGACTTTCATAGGAGAAGACTTCAAGTTCTTGTAGATGCAGGTCCTGACATTATTGCTTTCGAGACCATCCCGAACAAACTCGAGGCTCAGGTTCTCTTTCCCCCGCACACACAAAAAAAAGGATCCTCGAAACAAATACCAATCTTTCCGGGGGAAAAACTCTTAAAATTTTTATTTTCAGGCATGCGTTGAAGTGATGGAGGAAGAGAATGTACAGATACCCGCATGGATATGCTTCAGCTCGGTGGACGGTGAGAATGCTCCATCTGGAGAGAGCTTCGAGGAATGTCTCAAACCTCTCAATAAAAGTGACAATGTATATGCAGTTGGCATAAATTGTTCCCCTCCCCAATTTATCGAAAATCTCATACTCAGATTCTCCAAGGCAAGCTCTCACTCTTCTCTCATGGCTTCCAAACCTTATCCTATGCGTAATAAAACGTTTTGTTTTTTCTTACTTCTTTCCATCTTCTTCTATGTTGTTTACAATTCCAGTCGACCACGAAAGCTATCATTGTTTACCCGAACAGCGGGGAGGTATGGGATGGGAGAGCCAAAAGATGGCTGGTAAGTCCATTAGTATCGAAGTTTGAATCTGGTAAACCCTAGAGATTGGTTTCTTTATAATTTTTGGATGCTGAAATGAAATGGGTTTCTGGTTTTTGGCATTTGGCAGCCATCGAAATGTTTTGGCGATGATAAATTCGAGATTTTTGCGACGAAATGGCGCGATCTTGGAGCTAAACTCATCGGAGGATGTTGCAGGACAACACCTTCCACCATTGAAGCCGTTTCAAAGGTTCTGAAACGAAGATGAGTTTCTGCTATTGGGACAAGAACTTGTATGGAGCGGAGTTCCACTCTCTAGGTCACTAGGTTTTGTTTTCTTGCTCCTCACGTTACCGGTGTTCTTGGGCCATTGAATAGAAGAACATTTGTATTTCTAAGTTGTGAGATTTGGGCTTGCATGTAAAAAGCCCATAATGTTTACTACTTTATAGTAAAGCCCAAGATATATGGGCCTTATTTAATATATGTATTTAAAATAAATTTAATATAATTAAATTAAATTAGATAGTTTATAAAAGCCTGACATTGTTGTCGGTTTATGGTTTTATATGGTTGAATTGTTTCATACATTATTTTGGTTCAAAAAATCAAGTCTGAAGATTCTTGACAAGACAAAATTCTGAGGTTTCCGAGTTGGCAAGCAAAGAATCCCAGACAGCAGATATGATGACGTGTCCTAATTTAATTAATGTAATATCATTTTCTCACACAACCGACCGTTCGACATAAGAACAGTCAGTCTGAATTCAATAAAATAGAAAACACTGCGATATTTGTCACATTTGCTTTCAATTTTTTGTAAATATTTTTTTTTGTGGTACTTCGTAATGCTGTGGTATGTCGTGTTAAATATCTAAAACCTTTTTTTTATATATAATAATTGATTGGAACATATGTTTGGGAACATTCATAGGCCCTAACTCACAAAATTTGGTATTATTATACAATTACAAGAGAATCGAGATTTTATTAGAGAAACAAGAGATAGACAACCCTTTGTTTTTTTATGTACAAAGAGATAAATGGGAACATGATGTTGCTTCAGTTCACATTCCCAAAAAAAAAAACATCTCCTTTATTTGTTTCTAATTCAGCAACTCAGAAATTCCCCGTCTCCTTTTTTTTTGTACTTACAAAACTTGCAGGGACAAAAGGTAAACACACCTTTTAATTACAACCTTTTTTTTTTTGTCTCTTTAAAACATATTTACACTCTCAACAAAACCACCCATCAATTCCTTGATGAATCTAAAACTGTCGACCTCTTTCTCATTGCCTGCTTCTCTTCTCGCTACCCTTTTCGATTCTTTACCTTTCTGTTTATGTACTGTTTGTTTCTCACTTGATTAGATGTTGAAGAACAAGATGATGACGATGATGATGATGATGAAGAAGAAGATGGTTATGCCAGAGCAGGGATACTGCGTCTGTCTCTGTCGAGGCAATCGAATCCGACGATTCTAACCCCTGGGTTGTTCCCGAAATTTGCCCTAACGCAGCTGCCTGTCCTCCCTGAAGATGGGGAGGACGGTGGCAGTGCAGAGGGCAAAGGGAGCGGTGGGGATGGAGCGAAGAAAAGTCCATCCCCGAATCTCGAGTCTTGAGTCAATGGGTTAGCGACTCTGCAAGGCGGGGACCCCGTAAAAAATCGAGGCGGCGAGGCTATTTCCTCGGGACAACCCTGTTCTATTGCTGAATCACCACCCTGCCAAAGATCAAAGACATCAAGATCTTGATCTCTTTCTAGAACACACTTGGTGTTCAGAAATCAGTTAAAAGGAAAGAGATTCTTCTCATCACCAACCACAGACACATGGAAATCTTTCTACTAAGTGATATCGTTTGAAAGTAGATCATAATCTTATCAGGACAGGGATATCTTTGTGAGGATGCATACCTTTAAGAGGATGATGTCCAGAAGATCACTGTCCGGGTCTGATCCGCATAACTCGGATCGATGGCTGAATATCAGAAGAGAAACAAACTATGAATCAACTCGAGAGTCGGTAGCATTCGTACTGTACAAATATGTTAGGACTCTGCAAAAGCATTTCAAGAGACTAAAGCTTCACCTGAGCTGCGATCTGAGAGACCGAACAGGGCGGTGGTCGTTGAAGGAGTTGAGGACTCCGACACGTCGGGGCTTCGGGCAAGCCACGGTCTCTCTCCGGTCCGAGACGGGGACAGTGATGGAGCTTCTCCCCATCTCGTCGCGGCGGGTTGCAAACGTGTTCCGTTGGATCCAACAGCTGTTCATCTTCGGATCGCCGCCTTCTGTTCAGATTAGCCGCAACAGATTTTCATCAGCTTTGGGAAAGAAAATGTTTTTATAGCAATCAACAACAAAACGTGATGAACTGGTCAAAGCGTAACGTGTTTCTCATCGAGATCTGGTCACAGGCGGAGCGTTCAATTAAATTAAGAAAATCAATTAAAGAGACAAAGCCAGTTGACAAATTTGACGAGTTTTTGGTGAAAAAATAATAAATTTAATTTAAAAAAAGGAGACGCTGTCAAGATCATAGATGGAGACAGAAATAGTTTTAATTCAAAGAGATGGAGAAAGGGTAAGAATTTTTTTTTTTTTTTGTCGATTCCCAAAATAAAAGTCTGAATTGAACAGTGAAAAGCACGGAGTTCGTGTCGTGAATTTGAAATTACGAGCGTCAGATCGGTGAAACGCTGCAGAATCGCAACCGGATCGGGGCAAATGAAAGAGCGATCCGGTAACCAAACGTCTCCGATCATGTTCCTTCTACAAAATCCAGAGGAAACCGGAAAGAACATGGAAAAACGCGAAGAATCGGAGTCGGATGGATGGATATTTTCCAGATCCGGACTGGAAACGAACGGAACATAACAACTTGAGAGCCAAATCGCGAGAAAACGAAGCCGAATCCTGGAGATCGGATGCATACCCGAGGAAAAAAACATCCAAAATTCAAACGGATCGACAAAACAACAGAGAGAGAGAGAGAGAGAGAGCCATACCTGAAGCTGGAAGAGATCGCCTACAGGGAAGCGAAGCAGCTTACACTCTGCGTCTGAGAGAGAGAGAGAGAGAGAGAGAGAGAGAGAGAGCTCAGTGACGGATCTCAAAGCACCATATTCACAATGGTGACAAAAAAGGAACAAAAAAAGGGGGAAAGAGATGATGAAATTGAAACCGAGTCGTATGGCTCTTGGGCTACCAACACAGCCACATGAAGAGAGAGAGAGAGAGAGAGAGAGAGAGAGAGAGAGAGAAAGAGAGAGAGAGAGAACCTGCTGACAACAACGTTCTAATGGGATCCTGGCCGTTCCTTTTGGTCTCCCCTTCTCTCTCTACATATTTATATTTATTATTTTGTATATTCTTTTTTTTTTACCATTTGTGTTCACCCAAAAAATTCAATAACAAATCTCTCTGTTAAATATCGGCGTATTGAAATTTTGTTTCGTGGTCCGACTTCACTTTCGTATTTAAAATTACAATGTCCTGTCGTGGATTCATTTTGATAAAATTCTTAGTATGCATGCATGCATGGATGAGCATAATCATGTTATCGTCGGAATTTACCGCGCCTTTGTAACGTCTATATTCAACATCTTCATCTACAGGTCTGGGGTTCGAATCCTTAACTAGAGATCATGAATTCGAATATGCTTTGTGAATAGAATAATAGTTAATATCATTTTTTTTACTATTTCGTACGCTAATCCAAAGACGAATAAAAATTATTTTAAATGTACAAAATTTAAAGATAATAATCTGTAGTTGAACGTTGTTGTGAGCACCTTGTAGTTAATAAAAAAAACTTATCCTTTTACTTTTCATAATTAAAAAGTATAAATTAATTTGCCCCTTAATCCCCTTCATTATTGATTAATATTGCATACTAGGAAATTATCTTTGGATTGAGACAATATATATAATATATTATGTATCGCAAAACGAGAATATGTAACCAACTATTATGTGGCTATGTTTGTCCATTAGATTAAATGTATCATTTTTCTTGACTTAATATCAAAATCACCACTTAATAAATCCAATATTTTTTATAATCTGAAAATTTATTGTATTTTTGGTCCAACTATATATATTAAAAAATCAGAATAATTCAGATGAATATATTAATCTAAATAAAAACTCAAACTTAAATTAATATCGATTGAATTATCCAACCATGTAAAATCCAATATATAGACACACATTCGGGAAGCCAAAAATATCTGTCACCGGCTATATAAATATCACCCCTTTGATTATTTAGTTAAAAGTACTAAAAGTAAAATTTAATACCCATGCTTTTTTGGGTCACCCATTTTATTTTTTCGTAGAGCATTACCACCGGTAGTAGTATGCATTTAATTATTGTACAAAAGACTTTATATTTATATATGGTTACAATTGTTTTTAAATAAATAAAAAAGCATATTGTTATTATTTGAATAAAATGAATAATTCATGGACAAGAAGCGGCCACGGAAGCTCATCCGTCCACCGTCATGCCTGTTGCAAAACCATCGGCCCATCACTTATCTCATGTTGTTTGTTTTTATTGTCTTAAAAATCGTATATATCTTTAAAAAAAAAAAGAGAGAGACGTACGGCCGTGTACAAGTTTCAAGTCCATTTGATTAATTATATATATACATGGAAAAATGAAAAAAAATCTTCAAATTTAAAATTTTAATTATCTATAAATCTAAATAAAATTTTAATTATTTAAAATATAAAAACACTCATTAATATCTAAAAAAATTACGAATAATTAATATATTTTTAATTCAATGTTAATATCATATATATATTTTGTAAATTAGGATTAGAATATTGAAATAATTAATAAAACAACTTTCATAAATACTTTTAAAAATCAGACAAATTTGTAGATAATAGTGTATTATAAATATATTTAAAAACTAATACATTTTAATTATCAACTATAATTTTATTAATTTATCATTTAAAATTTCATATATATATATATGAATATATGTATGAATAAGAATAATCATATATAATTTTATTATGTTATTATTTATTTTTAATGCGATATAGTTGTAATAGAATAATTTAATAAAAAATTATAATTTTTTAGATGTTTTATAAAATTTTTATATTTAGATGATTTTTTTAAAGATAAGAGTTTTTAATTATAATTTATTAGAATTATATTTTTTAAAAAGGATAATTTAAAATAATTCCGAGATTTTGTGGATTTTTCCATATATATGTACTTTTTGCAGGGAAGGCCGTGTAAGTACCAACCATGAACATGTATTTCTATTGTGAGATACGCAAGAATATGATCCTCTTTATCTGTTTTGTGAAGCATCAAACTACAAATAGGTCAAGTCGACATGTAAACGCAAAATCTCATACACGAAAAATACATTTCTGAATCGAAGTAACATACATTCTCGACATTACATATTTCTTTTCAGACAGCATCGAAAGCATCGAAAGAAAAAAAAAAAAAGAAAAAAAAGGACACATGTTCAAGCAGAAGCTGCAGGTTCAGAAGACTGGGCTCTCTTCTTGGCAAAGTACTCTTCGGCTCGGGCCAGATTCTTTGCCACAGAAGGCTTCACCCATTTCTTTCTTCCTGGCAACACGGTGAGTTTACATCCCAAAGCTTCCAGCTTTTCTTTCGCCGATGACGAGAAGGCTCTTGCCCGAATGTTCAGCTTCACACTCAGCTCCCCATCTGCTAGAATCTGAATTCAAGAAACATTTACAAATTCCTTATCGATGATACAGATGAATACAGGGTGATAGACGGGAGATTTTGTTCATTCCAGCAATCAGGGAGCAAGTTCTTTCTTAACATGGTTTTCAGCGAAAAGGGTCTTATGGCTGATGAAGTTTCCGAAAGCTAATGGCAAAGGGCAAACGTTTGTCAGGTTTTGTCATTCCCGGCATGAAATGCTCTCACTCATGAGCCCAAGGTTTCAGTGTGTGTTTTCGGAACAATTCTGAATCACTTAACTTGGCCAAACATGTGAGGAAGATCCAAGAACTTGCGAGATGCAGTGAGAAAGATCCAATTTTTCAATACCCCAGATTATATATAGATCACATATATGATCAATCATTCATGCTAGCTCAAACCCGAGAGTTTGGCATTTGAAATTATCAGACAGAAGGAGCAACAGACATATAATAGGGTACTAACCTTTAGAGGGAGTTTCCTTTCCCGTCCAGAAGGATTGATTAACCCCTTTTGCTTCAACGTCTCCAATGACACTTCATCTCCTTCTTGAAATCCCAATGCCTCGATATCTTTCAGGTTAACTGGTATGTATTTTGGTAATCCTGCATGCATACCTGCCCCATAATATAACACATGAGCAACTTAAAACAAGATGATCATCCCGCAAACAAAGAGCAAGCATCAGGTTTGCATCGGTAGTTTCGTTTATTTCTACAGAAAATATTTCGAAATGATGTAACTTTTCAATTTGATAAATCTTCATAAGCAACATGTTCTTCGCATGGTTAATATGTATCGTGTCTATCAGCGAACGCCGTCAAAATCAATGGCTTTCAGGCCGTGCTCTAATGTAAATCATATATAGCAGCATCAACTTGCCTCTGTTACTATTGATTCCTGATAAAACTGTAATCTATCAATCCCTAATCTGCCTTAAGGAATAAACTCTTAGGAACAGAAAATCAGGAACTTCTCTAGATTGGACCATGGTGCAATTTACCAGCATTTGAGATCAAAGTGTGTAACTAGCATTGCATTCCGACATCAATCATTCTGTGAAGGATGAAGCATTTCATCAAACACTTAGCCTACGTAATACCCAGCCACGCTCATAAAGCAGGAAGGAAATCAAAACCAGGAATTACCTCCGGCGATTCCTCTGAGTTTAGGAATCCGGCGATAAAGCGGCATTTGCCCTCCTTCGAATCCTCTCATCACACCAGGTCCCTTCCGAGACTTCTGACCCCTCATTCCGAAACCACAGCTCGCTCCCTGTCCTGCTGATATACCACGACCCTTTCTCTTCCCTTTCTTCCTCGACCCTGGTTGCGGTCCAAGATTATCCAGCCGGAACCTCGTAGGAGCTGCCGCAGAATTTGCCGCAGATTGGTTCAGCACGACAAATGGTCTGGCCGCTTGCTGTCCTGTTCTACTCTTCTGTTGGAGTCTTATAGGAAGAATCCGACATGGGTTTGCTCTCAAGACGCTTACATTTCCCTGAGAAATTACAATTCTCGATAAGGACTGTTAAATTTCCGAGAACCTCCAGGCGACTTGCGTGTATGCGAATCTATCCGGTCGAATTCATATAAGTAACAGAGAAAAGTACCTTGAAAGATGAGGAAGAGAACTGGAGACGGAGACGGTGGCAGGAGATCGGAGGATTAGATGAGAGGGAGAGAGGAGTAGCCATGGCGGACGACAAAGTAAGCTTTGTAAAAACAGATACACAAGCAGCTAAGCGCTTCGCTTTTAGCGGATAAGGAAGACGATAACTTCCTTCGTACCGGAAAAAAAAAAAACAGAAAAACGGTGTCGTATCATACCATCTTTTATCTTGGTTCTCAATTTGATAATCACAATTCGCTAATGGGCTCCAAACAGGCCGAAACCAATTTCATAATTGGGCTTTATTGTAAGACCTAATTACAAGCCCAAATGTGTTCCCACGTGCGAATCACGTGTTCTCCGGACAGTGGATCGAAGTCTGGATTCTGGTTCCCGAAATGGGAAAATCACTCTAATATACCAAATGTGTCGCACCTATTTCAGTGATACACCCAAAAAAAAAATCAAAATTTTTTTTTCAATTCTATACCACTTTTAGACTTAATAAGTCCGAAATAACCTTTCTTTTATATTTTTTACGACTTTATTACAACTATTATATAATTAATATACGACTAAAAAACGGTATTTACGACCATATAACAACTAAAGTTTCTGTAAACAATTAGATGTATTTTTTGTCACCTCATTTAGAATCATTTGTAACTGTATTTAGAATTAATTGCAACTGTATTTAGAATCAATTACGACTTTGTAATTATAATTACACGATTTCATTAAGGTAATATGTTCTTTTCGATAAAAATTTAATGGGTTATAATTTGGTGGGTGTATCCAGAAATGCCTGCGACACTTTTGGTACATCTAAGTCATTTACCCTCAGGAAATCCCTCTCTCCCCTCGGAGTACGGCCAGCCTCTGTCGATCTGAATTTTCTCAGACGACCTTTGGGAACTTCAGTTTCTGCGAGTTACTTGTTTGGTAACACTCCTACATCTGATATTCATTCTTTTTTTTGAGAAAATAATCGAAAATTGCGAAGGCATCTCTAGTTTTGAGCGCGAAACCCGCAACCAGGCTGCTTGAAGAGAAGTTCATCTCATTGTTGGAGTCATGTAAGACTCCGAAACAGCTTGTACAAGTCCAGACACAGATTACAAGTCATGGGTTTGAACAGAATGACTTTGTCGGCCCAAGAATCGTCGACTCTTGCTTCCGGTTTAAGAAAATCGATTATGCTCGCCAAGTGTTCGACAGATTCTCCGTGCCAAATGTTTCCGTTTGGAACTCCATGCTCAACGGGTATGCGCAGAACGAAATGTCGAGGGATGTTTTGGTTTTGTTTAAGAAGATGAATAGCATGGACGTCATGCCCAATTGCTTCACTTTACCAATCGTCTTGAAAGCTTGCGTCGTGGACATTGACGCTCTGAGGGTGGGAAATGAGGTACACGGCTACGCGATCAAAGCAGGGTTTAGGTCGAATTCGTATGTGGGAACCAAGTTGATTGAGATGTATTCGAAGGGGGGAGTGATAGAATCGGCTTATAAGGTGTTCTGCGAGATGGTTGAGAGGAATGTAGTTGCATGGACCTCGATGATCAGTGGGTATATTCTGAATGGTGATTTAGTTTGTGCTCGGCGGCTATTTGATTTGGCGCCCGAACGGGACGTCGTGTTGTGGAACACCATGGTTTCTGGCTATATCGAGAGCGGGAACACGGTGGAGGCTAAAAGGACCTTTGATCGAATGCCTCAGAGGGATGTCATGTCATGGAACACGATGTTGAATGGTTATGCTAATGTTGGAGATTCGGAGGCATGTGAAGGAGTGTTTGATGAAATGCCAGAGAGAAATGTGTTCACTTGGAACGGATTGATCAAAGGGTTTGCTCGAAATGAGAAATTTTCTGAAGTATTGTACGCTTTTAGAAGAATGGTGGATGAAGGAAATGTGCTTCCTAATGCTGCTACAGTTATGATGGTCTTATCCGCTTGTGCAAAATTAGGAGCTCTTGACTCAGGCAAGTGGGTACATCAATCCGTAAAGATTCTGGGGTATAACGGGAATCTTAATGTTGAAAATGCTCTGATCGATATGTATGCAAAATGCGGTGGCATAGATGTGGCTGTTGAAGTCTTCAAAGGCATGGAGAAAAGAGATTTGATAAGTTGGAACACTTTAATTAACGGATTAGCAGTACATGGGTATGGAACCGATGCCTTAAATCTGTTCCAGGAGATGAAGAATTGTGGACTTCAACCCGACCATATAACCTTCGTTGGTGTATTGTGTGCCTGTACACACATGGGTTTTGTGGAAGATGGCCTGGCTTATTTCAGTGCCATGTTAGAGGATTACTCACTAATTCCCCAAATTGAGCACTGCGGTTGTGTAGTGGATTTACTATCCCGTGCTGGACTTTTGACGCAAGCTGTTGAATTTGTGGACAAAATGCCAGTGGAAGCAGACGCTGTTATATGGGCCGCTCTACTCGGAGCATCTAGGGTTTACAAGAATGTGGAGGTGGGTGAACTTGCTCTGGAAAAATTGGTTAAATTTGAGCCGAGAAATCCGGCAAACTATGTCATGCTTTCAAACATATATGGAGATCACGGGAGGTGGGAAGACGTTGCAAGGCTAAAACTGGCAATGAGAGACACGGGAGTGAAGAAAGTACCGGGCATTAGCTTGATTGAGACTGATGATGGCTTAGTGGAGTTCTATTCTTCTGGCGAGAAACATCCTCAATCAGAGGAAATATACAAAGTCTTGAAAGGGTTGATGAAGCTGTTAAGAACTCCGGCTTTTGTCCCTGAAGTTGAAGAAATTGAGATAGTTGTCTGAAGCAGCAATGCAAGGTACATCACCACGTTATGACAGATGTTTAATCTTTCTGGGCCTTTTTGTTCTTGAATCATAGTTTATATGATTGATGTTAAGCTGTCTTAATACCATCTATTTGACAATGAGGCTTTTTTTCAAGATTTCTCTGAAACACGTCACTATATGCGATGCAACTGTGGAGGTTCATCCTCGGAGGTCGCCATTGTATTGGAATGAGGTACCAAAATGCATCACTTAAACATTCTTAGGCCCTTTTTTTCTTCAATTGTATGAAGTCTTCTAACATAGGGCATTTAGATAATTTAATGCACTATAATAGATGTAGCTCCTTTAATACGTGTTAAGTCTCTCTCTTCACAACAAGAACAGTGCACTCTGCATTGCGCGAGCAGTATCCACTTAAACCTCCCATGAAAGACCTGCATTCAGAGAAACATAGTATCAGCCTCTTTATTAGACGTTTTACGGGTTAACCCTTAACGATTGATGCAATCTTTCGCATTGAGCCGACCTTGTAAGATTTCGGTTTTGCTGGTCACTGATAATGAGTGTATCGATCATGTGCTCCTGAACTACCCTGCAGATGATATCTTTTGGGTCTCCGGCTTCTGTAAATGTCTCTGCTTTGATCTGTTGGAATATGGTTTTGAGTGGAATTCTCATCAGAAGAAGCTCCCTAACCCATGAAGAACACAGTTTTATTATTCAAAATGACCCCCCGGGAAAAAAATGATTTTGTCAGGAAATACCCCATGATCTGCGCATATCTTTTTGGCTCTCTCCAGCAGCCCCATTGAGATAACCTTGGTCTTTTCCCGAGCCAACCATGTTAGCTCTGCATCTGTAACACAGAAACAAAGTGTTGTCACTCATTACATTTCTTTGAAGTTCCATAAATTTGATGACAGGGAGAGAAGGAAGAAGAGACATCACTGGCTGAGAAGGGAAAGAACATCTGAGCACAGCCAACGGAGGAGGAGAATGCACTCGGAGGGGTGAAGGAGGCAAGGAGGGGCTGTGCTGCAAAGATCAAAAGTTTGGAGCTTTCGATGGAATCTTTAAGATTTTCGAGGACCCAAATGAGCAAATCGTAACTAGAGTTGCACTCATCAATGACCACCATAACCTTCTTCATCTTCTTCTTCTTCTCATTGATTTCAAGAGCGACATTTATTTATGGGGGTGGAATCTGTATAATAAAGAAATATGGGGTTATTTGGTAAGGGAAAGGGCTACTTCAACTACTTGATTCTCCTCCCATTTTATTCGTCCTCTCAGCTAAACCATTCCACCGTTCTCCAACCACTCTCCGTTTCCAAACAATAAATTATTTCCTGCAAAAATATTTTAAAAATAAAAATAAAAATAAAAAAAGGCCTAACAGATGAGGCCCATACCCGTGAAGTTTCTTTTAGCCGGCCCATCTCTCGTAGAGTCCGCTACGAAAAATTATTGGGCTCTAGTTTTAATAATTTCCACGCGCAGATTTAACGAGTAAACTCCACGTGCCGATTTTTCCGTGGACATACCCCCCAAAATCTGAAGCGCGAGGTTCATTATTCAAGTGGTCTCCGCCCTCTTTGTAGAAATACATTGTAAAGAAATAAAAAATTTGAATTATAGAGTTGAGAAAATTGGATTTAGTAATTTTGTGGTGACAATTTTTTAGTTAATTAAGCTCCGTGCGAATGTGTGTGCATATATATATACACATTCCAAGATTAAGTGGATGGGACATCCATTGGCTTTTTCCGAGTTGATCTACTAATGCAACAGGGCCTTCAGCATCTTATACTCAATGGGCTTTAACATCTCAAATTAAATGGGCTCTAACATCTTAAGCCCAGTGGGCTTTATCTCATTCCGTATTCGAATCGGTAATATATAAAACTATAACCATTGGATTTTGTTTTCCTTCGGGTTTGTATTCGAATTCGATTTTTTTATTGATAAAAAGGTGATTTTTTATAAAAAAAATTATTTTTTATATTATTTTTTATTCAGTTCGAATTCGATATTTTAAATTTAGAAAAATTGTAACCATTCCATTTTTATATAAAATTCGGATGGATTAAAGATAACCATCCAACTCCCGCCAAAATTTTCAATCATTTTTTTTTTGTTGCTAATGTCGATACGGAAGGAATATCCAAAGACGCAAAAGCATAACTTGTATGCACACACAAAACCAGCTCACACATTTCGACTATACATATATATATACACACGCTTTTCCTTCAACTCATTCATCTCTACAATCCAACGGCTGTTATCAAACGTTTACCTCAGGACCACCTTATGCCCATAGTCCTCGTCGTACTCTATAAAATTTACATTCCCAGTAAAAACACGCTTCCTTTTCTCACTTTAAAAGCCTGGTGCCGTAAAGTCTGAGCTCGAAAACATAGCGAATAAAAAAAAATCATGGAAACGTCATCGTTTCATTCTCCGGCGGCTCTTCCGTCGTCATTCATCTTCTTCTCCGCCGTGCATCTCGTCGGATATTTCATGATATTCCGCACGTGGAAACCCACCCACCGTTCGGGAGCCACCAGCTGCGTCGTGTCCCTCTTCCACGGGACACCCGCCGTCTTGATGGCGTCCCACGCGCTGCTCACTAACCCACGCGCCACCGCTTCGTCCGCCAATACAGCGGAGGAGGCCGCCGTCCTCGACTTCAGCATGGGTTACTTCGCGGTGGATCTCCTCCACTACTTGCTCTTCCTCCCACACGACGCCGTTCTCTTCATCCTCCATCACATGGCCACGCTCTACGTGTTCGCCACGTGTCGATTCTTCGTTGGCCGCGGCGGTCACGCCCTCCTCCTCCTCCTCGTCTTGGCCGAGTCCACTAGCGCCTGCCAAAATGTTTGGAGCCTCGCAGGTATCTTTTTTTGGTTTATTACAGAATATTCTCTCGGTCGCGCATTAATTCTCTGTAGAAAAAAAATCGTACTGAAACAACTAAACCAAACTAAACCGGTCGGTATTTAGTTGCGTTCACTTTATCTTAAAAAACTATTTTTAAAAAATATTAAATCAAATAATTCTAACTGATCTTAAATAATCGAACTTAATTAAGTTTTGCTCTGGTTCAATTAGACTAAAACCAAACAAAATCTAAGTTTCCCACCCTTTATTTGAGTCGAGCAAATACAAGAAAATGAGATGAGTCATGGATATTGTATGCAGGGTATAGGAAAACCGACGTCGTATTGGCAAGGAAGGTGAGGGAAATGTTATCGCCGGCGTTTTACGTGTCATACACGGTGGTTAGAGGGTTGGTGGGGCCGGTGGTTCTGTACGATATGGCGGCGTTCTACGGCAGAGGGGCCGCGGATGGTTGGGTCCCACGCTGGGCTTGGCTGTCATGGTTGGTTGTCATTGGTGCCGCTATTTTTGCCAGTCTTTTGTGGGTTTGGGGAAACTGGTCCATTTGGTTTAGGGAGAGGAAATTGCAAAACTCTACAAAGAAAAAGGGTGGATCATGATACCCTTTGCCTTTTCTCGTTAGTTTCAGTTGGGGGAAAAATTGGTATTGTCATGTTCATTTTAGATTCATTGATTGTCCATTTAAAGGGCTAAAATTTGGCATTGAACGTTAGAAAAATTTATCATATCAGACAGTAAAATGTGACTCAGGAGTTATGACATGAATTGTTTGGTAAATGTTTGCATTGGCTGACTTGATAGTATTCTTGTCTGCAATCTGTTGTTGATGTAGGTAAGGAGGAAAAACAGAAAGTTGAACAAAAAACCATAGTCATAACTCTTAAATCATGCATCAATCAAACCAAGCATTTCGGGGTAAAACCCTTTGGCTCAACAGGAGGGTTTTAGAAATTTATAAAATAAAGGACAACGATACCGTCTCCCAAGTTGTTCTTATTCAGAAGGCCACCAAGAGTGTCCTTCCTCTTTGCCATTATCTCTCTGGTGATGGTGATAATAAGTTTAGGCCTTTGAGATGTGAACAATTAAGTCCACGACACGCGTACTGCGCACAGAAAAGAAATCCGAAGTTACGATACAGAAAGAATTTGGGGGGACAAAAACAGATTTAAGGCTTGAGTAAGGGGAAAGTTACCTGTAGCCCAACTCATTGTCGTACCAGGAGACGAGCTTCACGAACGTCTCGCTCAATGCGATTCCTGCCTTTGCGTCAAATATGCTCGACCTGTTTCCGTAAAGAAGAGAAAAGCAGTTCCACATTATGGGTTTCAATTTCGGCAGTAGAGAAATATATTGGGAAAGACTCTTTTATACCTGCTGTCACCAACAAAGTCTGTAGAAACAACGTCATCCTCGGTGTAACCCAAGATTCCCTTGAGCTTTCCTTCAGATTCCTCCCTGTGTGTCGTTATAAATATATTAGATTTGCAAAATCCAGGAGAGGGTTGCAGGAAAACCAGGATCAGATAGTCACAAGGGTTCTTCTCGTGTAAGCTTTACTTGATTGCTTTCTTGATTTCATCGTATGTGGCAGGCTTCTCAAGCCGAACAGTGAGATCAACAACTGAGACATCCACCGTCGGAACACGGAAGGACATTCCAGTCAACTTGCCGTTGAGAGCTGGGAGAACCTTGCCCACAGCCTTTCAGAATCAAATCCACGAAAAATAATTATCAGACAAGATCCCAAATTAAACAACACACTTTGTTTCGATAGTATAAACAAAAACAATCTTCAGTAACCATTGCATATTATACCTTGGCAGCTCCAGTGCTGCTAGGAATAATGTTGAAGGAAGCAGCTCTTCCACCTCTCCAGTCCTTCATTGATGGGCCATCAACAGTTTTCTGAGTAGCTGAACCACAAAATAGAATCAAAAGGCAATTACAACTGCGTAAGTCACGCACTCGGCCTGATCTGGAACAAACAACCCAAGTAGATAGATAAGTTATTGCCGTGAAAGAATTTTACCAGTGATGGAGTGGACGGTGGTCATGAGCCCCTCAACAATGCCGAACCTGTCGTGAATAACCTGCGTAGGTCCCACATATACAACACATGAATGGAGCAAAATTCACCTCAAGACACTTAGAAACAGATAAAAAAAATGTTTCGAGCTGGAGAAAGACCTTGGCAAGGGGAGCAAGGCAGTTGGTGGTGCAGCTAGCATTGGAGACAATGTCAAGCTCAGGCTTGTACTCATGCTCATTGACACCCACAACAAACATGGGCGCATCCTTGCTCGGGGCGGAGATGATAACCTTCTTGGCACCACCCTGAACAAAGAAAAACCATTCAAATCAACAATTTAGTATTCATCACCTTCACCCGAGGTGCTGTAACTACCCAAACTCATATCCAACAAGAAGACCATCAAGATGGAGTCTTTACCTCTTTAATACATGGGCAATCACCGACTTGTTCAAGCATTGCACATGTATTTGCTTTAGCGTGCTTATAAAAATATATTTATCTATGCATATGAATCCTATGGACGACATGGTTCTTTCAAACATCAATTGATCAACTAAATTCTTCAAAATGATCTGTAGACATTATATAGATTCAATCTAACAAGATACACAAGAATCAATAAATCAACCAAGATAATGACGCTAAATAAATTTCACGCAAACAAAACAAACCTTCAAGTGAGCAGCAGCCTTGTCCTTGTCGGTAAAGACACCGGTAGACTCAACAACGTATTCGGCACCAGCCTCAGCCCACGGGATCTCCTCAGGGTTCCTTCACAGAACAACGATCGTAAATCCAATTAACTAATCCCAATCACGAAGAAATATGCTTACAAATGACTGATCAGAAGATGTACCTGATACCGAAAACAGTGACTGGCTTCGTACCAAAGAGAAGAGTCTTCTCATCCTTGACCTTGAGTTCATTGTGCTTCCACTGACCGTGAACACTGTCGTACTTGAACATGTAGGTCTGCAACAATCAAGTCCACACCACAAGAAAAGATCAATCACTTTAATTCGACCTCACCTCAACATGACAATCATCAGTTCACATCAAGTATACATTGAAAAGGTCATCAACTCCATGAATTAAGCATATAAAAAATCATTTGAACTATTTCCGAATCGAAATAACAAACATATCACATCACCAAGACACTGGAAACAAAAATCGACCATATATTTACGCGTTCTTACGAAGAAACCGCGGGGAAATGAACGAATCGCATCATCTGAATGACGTCAACCACTAGAGATCAAAGCAACGCCAGAGGATAGTAAACGAACCATGTAATCAGTGGTGATGAAAGGATCGTTAACGGCGACGAGCTCAACATCGTCCCTCTGCAAGATAACTCTCGCGACCAAACGACCGATTCTTCCGAATCCTATCATTCACAATGATACGAAGTAAGATTCGGCAGATCTAAACAAAAAAACAAAAAAAAAATTAACGAAACAAAAAATTATCAGACACTCACCGTTGATTCCGATCTTGATCTTACCGCTCGCTATACAAACAAAAACACAATCAAAACAAGTATGCAACAAAAAAAACAGAGATCAAAACTCTAACAAAGCAAAGAAATCTCACCCATTGTGAGATTGGAGAAGCAAGAGAGATGAACTTAATGAAAATTTCGAGGAGAGGTAGAGAGGGGCGGGGGGCTTCTCGTGAGGCTTTAGCGTCGTTTAAAGGACAGGAGTGAGGTCGTTGTTGATCCAGTGGTCCAGATTTTTTCTTGGGAAAAATGTCGGATCTGATTCACTATTTAAATGAAATGACAAAATTAACCATTCAATCTATATATATTTCCCTTTTGAACCACTCCTCTAACTTGGAGTTGGTGTGCCGTGATTTTTAGGCCTAATTTTTTTTTTAAATTGTTTTATATGTTATGAAACCGTAACAAATATGATCTTCAGATATTAAAAATGTTAACTATAAATCGAAATTTGTATTTTAGAAAAATAGAAAAAAAATTATATCTTATTTCTCTTTTTCTTAAAAATATATAAATAAAAAAATTCAAATGATCTATTTATAAAAATTCTAAAATTACTATTCATCTATACGGTTCAGTATAAAAATAACCGTATCTATAAACAATACACTATAAATATATTTTAGTTATAATATTATACACTTTAAAATACCTTAACAAATTTTAATAGAAATCAATTTTAAATAGGATCTTAACAATGATGTATATAAAATTAATTTCGATTTTAAGAAGATATTTTTTGGTACGTTTCAATATGTAATATACATTTATTTATCAAATATTATAAAGTTGTATTTCTATAGGATTTTTCTAAAAAAAAGCTCAATGCAGGTGATTGCGCTTGCATCTCACGCGCCTAAAGTGGAATATTCGACGCTGACAAATGAACCTGAAACAATATATTTTTTTTGGACCCGCGCCATAGGGTTATTATTTGTTATAAATTTTGTTGATGTATAATTTAGAAAATTAGAATATATTATTTATTTAATATAAGATTAAACAGTAATATAAAATTATTGTAAAAACATCAATAGTCATTATATACTATATTATATAGTATAGATATGATATCTTTGTTTATGGATATATATTTAGTGTAAATAAACAATTTGTCATAGAAAAAGATTTTTCGATACGTTTGAATTTGAATTTTATGTTCTTTACAGTATAAGTTTTACATCAATTATTTGTAATATATTTTTGTCAAAAAGAGTCAATTTTAAGTTGTGTTTTATTACCCTCATATTTTTTGTAGTTCATTGAAAATCTCTCTACATAAAATATTGGGGATGAATATTTCTAATTTGAGTTCTTTCTATGATCTAGTTTATTTAATCATGTTACTGAAATAACAGAGGAGAATAACATAAAATGGTCATAGCTAAAAGACGGTTAGATTGGACAGATATATGATTATATGTTTAAGAGTTTGGTATTGTTGTTTATTTATGATCATTTTGTTTTGGGTTGTCATTTTTTTTATAATTTAATTATATTGTTACAATATTTGTTAATATAAATGAAAATAGTGACATGTTAAATGATAAAATACATAATTCATAAAAAATTTCAGTAATCTTAACATGATACCGAGATAAAAGTCATAAAAAGTGTTTATTAATTTAATAATCATAACGTAATTAAAAAAATGCATAATAAAACGTACATTTTCATCAATTAATAAGAAGTCGATGCCAATGGACTTATTTCCAGTGAAAGGATTTCGTTTATCCTATATCCTTAGAAACCTAATCATAATACACTAATAACTGTGATGTCTTCTCATCTGATTCAATCTTACATTGGTTGGTATCATTGTGTGGATCTGATTTTTTAATTCCTTTATTTAATCATGTTACTGAAATAACAGAGGAGAATAACATAAAATGGTCATAGCTAAAAGACGGTTAGATTGGACAGATATATGATTATATGTTTAAGAGTTTGGTATTGTTGTTTATTTATGATCATTTTGTTTTGGGTTGTCATTTTTTTTATAATTTAATTATATTGTTACAATATTTGTTAATATAAATGAAAATAGTGACATGTTAAATGATAAAATACATAATTCATAAAAAATTTCAGTAATCTTAACATGATACCGAGATAAAAGTCATAAAAAGTGTTTATTAATTTAATAATCATAACGTAATTAAAAAAATGCATAATAAAACGTACATTTTCATCAATTAATAAGAAGTCGATGCCAATGGACTTATTTCCAGTGAAAGGATTTCGTTTATCCTATATCCTTAGAAACCTAATCATAATACACTAATAACTGTGATGTCTTCTCATCTGATTCAATCTTACATTGGTTGGTATCATTGTGTGGATCTGATTTTTTAATTCCTACGATAGATTTAATTTGATCAATAATGACGTTATTTGCTATATAGTATGTTTATTTATTATTTTTATAAGAATAAAATAATGATTGAATATAATAATATATATATTTATACACAAAAGTCGTTGGCATGAGCTGTTGTGGAATAAAATTTGAGAGGGTAAAGTAGCTAAAAAAATGGATTAACATGACATGCTAGACTCCAAACACTGCATGATTCTTTAGATAAAAATTGGTTTGAGCAGCAAACACCAATTCAAGTCTGTATATGTACATGCAAAGAGATGAATTAAAGTTCGTGCGTTTAAAAAAAAAATATTATCACATTGATGAAGCCACAAAAATGGGTTAATAATACACCAAAATAGATTAATTAGAAAAAAACAAATAATAATTGTGGCTATTAAGTAAGGGTGGGCGTTTCGGAAAACGGTTCGGGTTCGAGACGGAATAGATCGGTTCGGTTCTTTCTGTTTTACAAAATTAGGTACCAATTGAGTTTTTTATTGTATTCGGTTCGGTTCGGTTCGGTTCCAGTTTTTATTAAAAAAATGTTAGATTTCCTTTAAAAATATTCAGTTTTTCGGGATTTTTAAAGTTCGGTTCGGTTCGGTTCTGGAAAATTCGGTTCTCTAAAAATGGTACCGTTCGGGAAATAACAACGGTTTCGAAAAATACCGTTTTAACGGTTCGGTTCAGTCCGGTTCTGAAGAACCGAACCGAAACGCCCAGCCCTACTATTAAGGACGACGGATGTTCTAGTTGGCCACATTAAAGTTTGTTTATTTTCTTAACAACGCATCAAAATAATAAATAAATCTATATATATTAATAATTGTGTTTAAAGGAATGTGGTGAATCCACCTAAACATCCACATCATCAAATTGCTCAAATTTTATTGGTCATTTGATATATTCAATTGCTTGCTCATCTCATCATTTCTCATCGCAGTCGGGGAAACATATTTGATCGAAGAGACACTGACGATTTATTGGTTGATATTGATGAAAAGGAAGATTTAGCATCTTAATCATGGTAGGTTTTTTGGTTCAATTTATTTTTATTTTTTTCTCTATTAAATACCATAATTTTTCTAATTACCGTTTTTCACAACCGTTTCTTTTGTACATACTAAAGGTTTTCCCACTCAACACGGTCAAACGGTGGTCGAAATTACATTCCGAGTGTTCAAAGTTGTGTATAGGGTCTATTATGACGTATTTACGTGTTTTTGTTATTCGTAAAGCATCCGGAAAAATGATAAATTCTACCCTAGGCCAATGTGCTACATAAAGTGTACTAGAACATTAGAGTTTCGTTTGGGAGAACATGTACTGTTAAACAAAATAAGGTGTTAAATTTATATAGCTCCGATTATTTTTTAGTTATCAAATTTTTTATACGGGGTGTTTATTAACATGTTCATGGTTCAGAATTGATAAATTCGCCAAATTCGAGAGTTTGACGTGTTTGACGAATTTGACGGGTTTGACGAGTCAACGCGGTCAAACGATGCTTGAAATTACATTCCGAGTGTTCAAAGTTGTGTATATGGTCTATTATGGCGTATTTAACGTGTTTTTGTTATTCGTAAAGCATCGGAAAAATGATAAATTCTATCCTAGGCCAATGTGTTACATAAAGTGTACTAGAACATTATAGGATTGAAAAATTCGGCCGCACACAAATTACGACAGAATACTACAGATTTGCGACGAAATACGAAAAAAAAATTGAAGTCGCAAAATCCTTTACAAATGTGCGACAGATTGTGACAGAATCGTGTCCGTCGTAAAAACAAACCTTATATGCGACGAAAAGTCTGTCGTATTTATTAATTTTATTTAATTTTGCGACAGATGTGTGACAGAGATATCTGTCGCAAATTGCGACAAATGTTCCTGTCCCAACCGTCATTTTCGTTGAAAAATTTCAAATTTTCGCAGTTTTTATTTCGAATTTTTTGCCTTTGCGACGGACATATCCGTCACAACACTTAATAAAAGTCACAACTTCGTCTTTCTCCTTCAGACTTCTAAATTTCAACAAAAAATCAAAATCTGTCGAAATTTTTGCCCGTTTTTTTCAAAATTTGTTAAGGTATGTGTATATATATGTGAATTTGTATGTGTATATATGTAAATATGTGAATATATATATATATATATGTGAATATATATATGTGAATATGTATATGTATGTGTATATGTACGTGTGTGTTGTGTATATATGTGAATGTGAATGTGTGTATGTGCATGTGTGTATGCGTGTATGTGAATATGTGTATGTTTGTAAGTGAATATGTATGTGTTTATGTGTTTATGTATGTGTGTTGTGTATGTATATTAATGTGAATGTGAATATATATATGTGTGTTTATGTATTTGAATATGTGTATGTGTGTACAGTGGCGGATCTAGGATATTTTTAGTTGGGGGCATAATTTTATTATGATACATTTATTATGGGGTCATTTGGTAATTTCTTTTAAAATCTTATAAAATTTCTACATAAATTAATTTTTTTTACTTAGGTAACTGGGGGCATGTGCCCCCATTAACTTGTAAATAGGTCCGCCCCTGTGTGTGTATGTGAATGTGTGTATGTGAATGTGTGTGTATGTTTATGTATGTATATGTGTGTGTGAATATGTATGAATGTGTGTTTATGTATGTGTGTAATGTATATGTGGAAGTGTATATATATATGTATATGTAAATTTATATGTGTATATATATGGGTATGAATGTGTGTATGTGTATGTAAATGTATATGTATGTGTATATGTATATATATATATATGTATATGTGTAATGTATGT